GATTAGCGGCTATTTTGTTTGCTTTTTACCGGCAACCGGTTGTCAGATGGAAATCATTTTGGAGCTACCACGCGTAGAGAGACCAGAACCTTGGGGGTGAATGCCAAAAACTGGATGGCTGACTCACGCGAGGGACGGGCCCCGAGAGAGATCGGAGATTGGGATTTGCATTTGCATTTGCATTTGAAGAGGCTGCAATCGCGACATTATTTAACAATTTAGAGCTGTATGTACAGCAGCAGAGAAGAGGCTCGTTATGTACTACCTATTATCGATCTAAGGTAAGCTCATTTACTCTTTGTTCAAGTTCAGGGAGAGGCAACAGACGACAGAAATGACAGCAAACAGCACAACACAAGGCAACAAAGACGGCTGAGAAATTGCGCCACAAAAGGCGCTTGAAAGCCGTTTACGAGTGCGTTGTGCTGCCGGTTCCTGGTATAAGTTAGCGTTTCCCTTTTGGCCACAATCGAAGTGGGAACTTTTCTTGGACTCTGCTGAAGTTCTGCCCTCAAGCTAACTGCTTGTGTGTGTGTGTGTGTGTGTGTGTGTGTGTTTTTGGACACAAACCCGTTTTGAGCCACAGATGGGCTGCATCGATGGTGTGTCTCTGTCTCTTACCTCTATGTTTTCCTCTATGTTGTGGCGTTGCAGCCCTGTTGGTGTCGTTGTCGCTGTCTCGAGTGCGTTTACGAGTGTTATAAAACAAAGTTCTGTTCTTATTTTTGGCGCGCTGCAAAGAATGTTTTTTGTGGTGTCAGAAAGCGAAAGTAAGCGGACGCCGGCACACTAAAAGCGAAAGTTAAAAGTCAACGGCAGCAGCAGCAGCAGCAGCAGCCGCACACCAGCAACATCAACAGCTACAACAACAACAACATCGTGCGGAACCGACAGCAGAAGAAGAAGAAGCAGGATCGGCCTGAAGCGAAACAACACGCTTATAAATACTTCTGTTCTGGCACATATGTATCAGTATCTGATTATACATATGTCCGCCGCATACATATGTATGCATAGAAATATGTAGGCGTGTGTGTGCGTACGCGTCGTGTATATGTGTATATGTGGAGCATATAAATGGGCGCTGCTGTTGTGCTCCGTTCTTGCGTTGGCTGCTCGCTGATGTGCCGTTGCTTTCTTTGCTTTGTGGTTTGGGGTCTGGTGTTCGACTATTTGCTATTTGCTTTTACTTGTTTCCTTTTCGAAATACTGCCGCACGGGGACCCTGATCTGATCCGGCTCTAAAAGCGATGCGAGCGACGCGACGGACTGAAGATAACTAAGGGGAAATCAGAATGTGTTGGCAGTATAAACCGCACAGCACAGCACAAGCTAGCAGCAGCAGCAGCAGCAACAGCGGCGCAGCGGCAGCAGCGAGGCAGTTTATCAGCCAGACTTTTGCGCGTGTGTGTGTGTGTCGCTCAAGTTCTGCTGAATGGGGAGGGGGGCATGGCTCCGATCGGGTCAACCTCCAGTGTTACATACCGAAATGCCCGGAGAGTCACTGCAGCACGAGCTGCAGGATGATGGCCAAAAGGGAAAGAGTTCGAGAAAGAGCCAGAACGAAAGAGAGTGAAAGAGAGAGCGTTTGCCGGTTGCCACTGTGTGTGTGTGTGTGTGTGTGTGTGAGAACCAAAATGGCCCGAGAACAAACTTTCCGGCGACGTATACGCAATGCAAAGAATCAACTAGTTGCTGCTTCTGCCTGTGTTTCTTTCTCTGTTTCTTTTTTTTTTCTTCTTTCTGTTTCCCTTTCCTCCTGTATCATTATTTGGGAGTGTTCTCTCTCTCGCTGGCTCTCTGCATACCCCGCTCTCGTATGGCACACGGGTATATTGAACATGTGTTTGTGGCAGTCAAATAATACCAACAATTTGGCATCTATTAATAAATCAAATACAACCCATTAGCGGGTATTTTAAAGTCGGAATGTTGACTTTAGTGCTCTCTCTTCTTACACAGAAAACATCAATTAGAAAAAACTTTTGTATTTCGCTTTCAAATTATGCCAACAAGCCAACACAGTTTTTGTGTGTGTTTGTATTTCGTGTTCTCCTGCTGTGTTGCTGTTGTTGGTTAGTCTCGTTTTGGGCTTTTTCCACTACCAAAGAGATAAATGAGAAATGGTGAATGGAGCCCATTCATGTTCTGGGGACTTGAGCACCGCGCTGGACACCTTACCGGTGTCTTTGCACTCCACGCGCACAGACAAAGATGGCCGAAACTGTTGCCAGAAATTATGAAATAACTACGCAATATTTTATAATAAATAATTAACCGGACGCAGAGTGCGGTGGTAGGAGGTAGTGGATGAGGATTTGCGTGACGATTAGACCCAGTGGAACCAATTAATACGCTCGCAGGGTCTTGGCAAATTCTTTATCTGTCTGCCATTTATCCGGCATGACGCTCTGGCTAGGACAGGCGCACTGTTGATGAATTCTTCTCTGAGTACACTCTTGTCTCCATGATATGGCTCAAATTTCCATTTCTCGTTTCGATATCGAGGCAACGAATCATCCAATTTTTCGGTGACTTTGAGTTTTGATTGATAAGCCACGGCGCGGTACCCCGCCCGGAACCCCGTGGTGCAGTGATAAGCACCTCAAATTATGTGGCCATGGGTGCCTGGAACGTCATAAAAAATATATTAGATTAGACAAATTAAGTTATTTTCTGTACTCGCAGCTAAAATCTTACCTAACCTAGGTAGATTTGGTGTTTATTTCGTAATCTCATTCATGCAACGCAAACCAGCAGAGTGTTGGTGCATGTCACTCTGTACGGGAAATATAATTATACAAAATAAACAAATATTTATTTTCATCTAAAAATCTCACTCGAACTCAAGTCAAGCACATTTCTTCAATCTGACGCATCGATCCTTGATCAGATCAATGTCATTTTGCAATTATGAATGTTCAACCTGATTTTATTTTAAGTTTCGGTTCTGAACGCTGAAACGAAAACAAGTCCGCACCCAGATGCTGTCCAACGACCAAAACGATGATGATTCATCATTATATTTGGGTGGAGCTTGAAGGATGCTGGTGCAGCATACAGAAATGAGTTTCTAAAACTGGAATAAATTCGTGAGTGCTATCTTAATTACGCACTTCTGTTTCAAATAATATGAAATTTGAAATTCGGTTATTTGCGGAGGTGCTTTCAGAGAAATCCATCTTGTATATCGATAGTCATCCGCAAATCAATGCAACACTGGCTGTGCACAGTGTTGTGTTACACATGTTTTTACCATTCCACACTTCAATACCGCTCTAGTCCTATAGTCTAGATACCAAAAACGATAAACAAAAATAGTGTTAGATCTTTGTCGACCAGGAGGGTTTTTAAATATATTGAGGTACAATGTACTTCAAGTAACGAGGAATGATCAATTGACAAAACAGTATTATTTTCTGCATACTTTCTATTTTTGAGGTAGAAGTTCGTTTTTTCCCATGAAATATTTTTGGTAAATTAAAACACATGGGATATCGAAACTCCCATTTTCAAATGTTCCTCTGGGGTAATTTCTTTTTCGCAATACAGGGATTATCATCACATCGTTTTTTTTACCATTGACAACACTAATATGTATGGGCCGCAGCTTTTATAAATAAGTGGGCAGCCCTGTTTCCAGGAATGTAGGTATATTTACGGTATATTTTTAAAATTATACGGTACATTTTGGTCTATTTTTTAGGGTTGTGCAGTATATTATATCGATAATTCCGCGGTCGCAATGGTCACACTGGCTTCCTCTTTCTTTTATTTCCGCCATTGCCTGAGATAGTTGGAAAATCATGGGTGAGTTGTTAAAAAGAGTGTTTTTTGTGTGAAATAAACAAACTGTGTCGCAAAACAGTGTATAAATGGAGTTTATAATGTGGTGCGGCTAAAACAGTAAGTGAATTTACGTTGAGCAACCTCAGAGTCTTGGTCCCACCAAAAAGACCAAGAGTTGAAACTTTCGAGTTTGCAAAAATCCATTGAAATGGAATGAATCATGGAAGTTAATGGGCTAATATCTTGTTATAACAATGGACTAGAGCTCACAGCCCAAAATGCAAGTGATATTTAGCAAGAATATTGTGTTTAACAAAATTTGCAAGAATCATTCGATATAACCTCACAAAGGCGAAGCCGACTAAACTGCCATTTGTTTACATTGTGTTGCCGCACTCGATGCCGTAGTGAAGCTCGATTTAATCCAATTACTTGATTATTTGCAGGCAAACCAAGAGGTCTGCGCACTGCCAGAAAGCATGTGAACCATCGTCGCGACCAGCGTTGGGCCGACAAGGACTACAAGAAGGCTCATTTGGGCACCAGATGGAAGGCCAATCCCTTCGGAGGTGCTTCCCACGCCAAGGGTATTGTGCTCGAGAAGGTGTACGTACAGTCGTTGCTTTCCAAAAGTGTTTTCTTTTTCAAGTGTGTTTGCGTGTGCCAAAAGAATCAGCGTCTTGACGCCTCGCAGTATATTTTTGTGTTTTGTTGTGTCTGAAACGCAAATCACAGGATTATACTGTGAGATGCAGGTCGTCCTAGCTTAGCAGTGATAATGCCTTTGTATTACATACCAAATGTGTAGCCAACTGTATGCTGATCCATTGAAATTTGTTTACTTGCAGTGGCGTTGAAGCCAAACAGCCCAACTCTGCCATCCGCAAGTGCGTGAGGGTCCAGCTCATCAAGAACGGCAAGAAGATTACCGCTTTCGTGCCCCGTGACGGTAGCTTGAACTACATCGAGGAGAACGACGAGGTCCTGGTTGCCGGTTTCGGTCGTAAGGGTCACGCCGTCGGTGATATTCCCGGTGTGCGCTTCAAGGTTGTCAAGGTGGCCAACGTCTCTCTGTTGGCTCTTTACAAAGAGAAGAAGGAACGCCCAAGATCTTAGATGATGATACGTCTAATCTTCTTTCCAGACACAGAGTTAGGGTTTTACAAAACTAAATAAACAAACAAAAAACAATACAAAAAAAAGCAAAGAACTCAATTTAATTGGCTTTATTTTAATTTTAATTATAGTTCTTAAATATATTTAGTTGAATGTGCGAGAACCGACGACGAGCTAATCAAGAAAATGCGACGGTGCGATGCGTCTTTATGCTCCACCGATATATAGGCAAAAATGTTACTGCCGACTCTCGTCTGGTGATGCGCCGGAATCCGGTTCCTGCTAGTAACGTCCGGGATTGTTGTTAAAGTTGTTTGTCGGCTGACGACGCGGGCGAGTGCCGCGCGGACGTTGACCGCCGCGTTGATTGTTGTATCCACGATTAGTGGGTGAACCCTGATCACCCTGCATATTGGGATTGTTTGGCCCATCAGAACGCTGCCACACAATGCGTGAACGATTCTGGTTCGTGTTTGGATTCCCACGTGTCCTGCGAACCCCGCGGTTGGTGTTGCTGTTGTTATTGTTGTTGTTGGGCGGCAAGCCACTGCGCAGGTTGCGATATCGCGTGTTATCCGACGGTGAAGTGGCCTCTGCCTCACGTCCCTCCTCCTTTAAAAAGATAAATTTGATTGTGCTTGAATGTTGAACAGCTGCTGAAGGTAATGGTTAGTAGCGATCAAGGTGGACAAGGGAGACTTGAACAATAATAAAAACTGAAGTTAGTAGCATGCAGCCGGGAGTTTCACCAACCTGCACCCGCACAACCAGCCCAACGCCACTGGCTAATGGTCAGAGATTACGCTATCTTTGCTAAAAGCGTCGCCTTCTTACCTCAACACCCACTGCCTGCTTCTCACCCTCTGAGGAGACGCCATCTGTGCCTTCGTTGGCCTCACCCGAACCGCCTTCCGCTTGATTTGGCTGATTATCCGACAATTCAGACTGACTTGTGCCTACATTTTGATCTGCAAATGTCAACAGGTTAACTTTAAATTCCTCATCGAGCATCGTGCATCTGCTTACTTTCGTTCCCGAGCTGCTGTGAGTCTTCACCCTGGCCAGGTTCCAGCGTCTCCTCGGCAAATGCCTCGTCAGCCTCGCAGATATCTTCTGCTCCGCCCAAGTCACTCTCGCTGGGTAGTTTGCTGGCGGCATCGGCTGCATTGGTTTCGGCTGCCTCGTTTGGCTTTTGGGGTAATGCTGCTGCTGTGCCTTCGCCACTGGGTCCAGCACTCTCGTCGGGCGCCACAGCTGCGGTTCCATCTACCTCTGCTGTCTCCACACGCGCCGGCTGCTCACTAAAGTTGGACACTTGCGGAGAGCTAACAATCTCCACGGAGCTGCTGGAAAGTCTTCAAATTAAACACTGCATCAAGAAGTCTTTCCCGGACTTACCTCTCCAAACGCCGAGATGCTGCTGCTGCTGATGATGTCGAGGCGACCGCCTGCTTCCATGGGGAGGTCTCGGCCTGTGGCAATTTGGCTGGATTCGAAGACTCTCCGCTGCCGCTGGTGATGGCCTGGCTCTGGTTGTTCTCCTGCGTAGAGGCAGAGGCAGCGGCGGCCACCACTGCAGCACCAGCTTGGTTGTCCAGCAATTGGCTCTCCTCTTGCACCTGCAGCTGCTGCTCCTCAATGTCCACCTCGTTGTTGTCCTGAGCGTCGGACGCCATCTCATTCTCATCGTCAGCACCATCGTTGTCCATGTCATTGTCCTGCTCGTACGAGTCCTCGTAGCCCTCCTGATCGGCCTCGCCACCGTCGACGGGTCCATCATCGGCATCCGCCAAGACATCGTCCTCATCGTCAGAGTCCACCACCTGAATGTCGTCCTCCTGATCGCGCTGTGACGAGGTGGGCATCTGATCAACGTCCATGCCAGAGTCGCCAATGTGCGTGGCGGACAGCTCCTCACTGTGCATGGGAGCACGCAGACGCTTCATCTTCTCGGGCACACCATCCTCGGTATTGGTGGAGTCTCCTTCCACGTCGCGCGGACGCTTGATGCCAATGGAGGAGCAGCCTGCCTGAGTGGTGGTCACATTGCTGCTGGACGGTGTGTGGCGGCTGTGACTGCTGACAACCGTCGAGGAGCTGCTGCTGCTGCCGGATGTGCTCGGCTGCTGGCTCTGCTGGCTCGCGTCCTGCACACTGGGATTCGCCGTTGGATTCGGTGTGGAAGTCGCTGTCGATGTGGAGGTAGAAGTCGACGAGGAGCCCTCCACGCGTGGCGACACCAAAGCGACGACCTGCTGCTGCGATCCTCCTGCAAATAGCTGCGAATCATTCTGCTGTGGATGCTGCACGCTCTCCGCTTCCTGGGAACTCTCAGCGGCAGAGGTGGCGCCCATGGGTGGTATGGCGGCAACCGCTACAGCCGCAGAGCTCGTCGATGGCATGTAGTCTGTGTGTGAAGATGTGGGCGATGAGGAGGCCATCGATTCCAAGGCGCCACTGCCTGTGGTGTGCACCTGCTGCTGCGGCGGCACCAAGGCCGTGTTGGCCACCGCCGAGCTGCTGCCGCTGGCCGATGCTGATGTTGTAGATGTCGACGAAGAGGATGTGGAAGCACTGCCCGCCGACGGTTGCTGGCTGGTGGGCAAGATGGCAGCCGTGCGGCTGTTCTGCACCGAAATGGGCCGGATGCTGGCCAAGGGTGTCTCCCCGCCACGCCAGGGCGTGACAGTGGCCGACTGCTGGACCGTGGCCGACCCGGACATGGGCTTCACATTGGCCGTGCGCGGCGATGAGGACTCTGATATGTTGCCCTTCTCGGCGACAGAGCTCGTCGAGGGTTTGGTCGACTGCTGGGAGCCCAATTGGCGCGTGAGTTGATTGATGCGCATGTGCAGCGACTCATTCTCGCGGGTGAGCCGCAAGTTGACCTCCTTGTTGGCGGCAATACTCTCCTGCAGCTCCTTCTCCAGACGGGCAACGTTCTCGTCGTATTGGGTTTTGTTGCTGGCCAGCGTGGCCTCCTGATTGACCAGATCCGTTCTGGCCACTGTCAGATCCTGTATGAGCTTGTCCACCTTCACCTTGTGCTCCTGCCGCACGGCATTCGCATCGGTCTCGGGTTCGGTTTGGCGACTCTTCAGAGCATCATTCTCACTGGTCACCTTCTCCAGCTCCTCCTTGGCGGCTCTGTACTGATTGCCAAGTTCATCCAGCTCGGAGCGTACCTTCTCCAGATCGGCACTGATGTCGGCGCCACCCTGTTGCGCCTGCAGACTTATGTAGCCTTCCCTGTAGCGCTTGGCCACCTTGCGCAGGGCCAACTCCTTGGTGTCCTTTTCCTGCAGAGCCTTCTCCTTGGCATCCAGCTCGTCGGTGGCCTTCATTAGTTCCTCCTCCTTCTGCAGCAGGCGATTCTTCAGCTCCATAATGTCCTGCGTCTGTCGTGAGTTTGCCTGCCGCAGATTTATGGTCTCCTCCATCTGCTTCTTGCGTGCATCGTCCAGGGCTTGCAGTTTGCCCATCAACGCTGGCAGCTCCGACTTCAGTAGGCCAATCTCGTCGGTTTGCTTCTTGCTGAGTTCCCTTTCAGCCGTCAGCTGCTTGGCCAGATTCTCGCGCTCCGTCTGGATGCGCTTGAACTCCTCCGGATTGCGATTGCTCTTCTCCACGAGGACATTGGCACGCTGACGCCACTTGACGGCTTCGGTGCGCAGCGAAGTGTTCTCCAAATTGAGTTCCTCAATCTTCGAGGTTAGCTCCTTGTTGCTGCACTGCAGCGGGAACAGTTCCTTCTCCAAACTCTGTATGCGGCTCGTGAGCTCCTCCAGCCGCTGTGTCAGACTGTTGCGCTCCTCCCGCAGAATGCGATTGCTATCTGTGATGGCGTCCAGGGTCTCGATCTTGCGCAACACCTCAGCGTACTTGAAGGTGGAAATAACCTCAGTCTGGTTCTTGGAGCGCTCCTGGTTGAGACAGACAGTCACCTCGTCCAACTTCTTCTGCATAATTGTGAGCTCCGACTTGAGACGCGCATTCTCGGCCTTCATAATGTCCATCTTGGCCACGCACAGATCCTTCTCTTGGCGCAGGAACTTGATGATCTTCAGCAGCTGCTCATTGCTGCGTATCTCCTCCGCAGCCAAGCCCGAAATATTGAGACTTTGGTCCGCATCCAGTGCCAGAGATTCGTTCAGCAAGGAAGTGTTCGTGCCCGACTGACTCAGGGCCGTCAGCTTGGTGGTGAGTGCCTCAATCTGGTCGTGCAATGTGGCATTCAAAGCATTCAAATCGGCCACGCGTTTGTCCGTCTCCTCCTTCTCTTTCTCCAGCAGACTTTGGGCCTCGGCATTCGCCTTGACCAGCTCATCGTGAGCGGCCTGCAGCGACTCCTGTCCCGCCTTCAGCTGGTTCAGCTCATCCCTCAGCTTGTAGTTGTCGGTCTTCAGCTTGGTCAGGTCTTGGATATCAGCCGAATGCTGCACCATTTCGTTGGCATACTTTACTTCCACTTCGTGCAGCGACTCGGCCAGCGTAGTGTTCTCAGTGCGCAGCGTGCGGATGGTGCGACCCGATTCGGTGAGCTTCTCGAGCACAGTCTTCATCTCATCCTGGGCCACCTTCACCTGATCGGTTTGGTTAATACTCTTGGTCTGTTCGGTGACATTGAGGAGCATTGCCTCGGCCTCCAGCTCATCGATGCGTGCCCTCAGCTCTGTCTCGGCGCTCTTCAGCTTCTTCATCTCATCCTCGTGATTGGCCACCATCTCGGAGTGCAGCTCGTGCAGACGCTTTACCTCGGCCTCGGCAGTCTGCGACATCTTGTAGAACTGCTCGCCATGCGCACGCAGCGAGATCAGCTCCTTCTGCAGCGATTCAATCTCAACAGCGGCCTGGTTGTACTTCAGCTCGAATTCTCGTGCGCGTTTGTTGGCTGCCGACACCGGATTCTCGTTCATCGAGGGCGTCAGGCTCTCCTGCAGCTTCTTGCTTAGCTCGTTCACCTGCGTAACCTTTTGGGCCAGCTCCTCGCGTACACTCACGAGCTCCGCTTGCCACTTTTCTGCCTGCTGCCGCTCTTCTTCCTTCAGCTTGATGGCAGTTTCGGCTTGACGTTTGAATTCGTTCACGGTCTCCTGGAACTTTTCCTGCTCCTCTTGCTGGTGTCGCCGCTGGGCGGCCAGCTCTCGCGCCGCATCATCCAGCCGCTGCTCGAGGCGAAGGCGTCCCTCAGTCTCTGAACGCTCGAGATTGGACTTGATAAACTCCAAATTGTTGAGCAGCAGCGACTGACTGTGCTGATCGCGATGGAAGCTCTCCTTCTCGATCTGCAGACGTGTGGCCGTGTCCTTCAGGTTGCGGTTCTCCTGTCGCAGATTGTAGGCCTCCGCTTCGGCGGCAGATGACTTTTTGTGCGCCGCCATCGTTTCATCCTTGAGCAGATGCATGGTCTGCTCGTGCTTGATGATTGTCTTCTCGTAGCTACGATTACGATCTTCCAATGCCGAGATTTGCTTCTTGCACGCCTCCACGTTCCTGTGCAGCAGATCGATCTGTTCCTTCTGGAAATCTGTGGAGTTCAGCAGCTTGCAGTTGGTGGAGGTTAGCTCGCGGACTTCCTTGCGCATCGAATCGAATTGTTCCTGGGCCAAGGCATCGTTCTTCCGCTTCTCGCTGGTGTAGTACTCGTAGTTCTCCTTGAGCGCTGCATACTTGCTTTTCTCCTCCACCAGCTGCCGCTCCAGACTCTGTATGCGCTGCTCCAGCTGGCTGACCTCTTCTCTGTTGTTGTGCTCTGCGGCCTTTGCCGATGTGTCCAGGGTGGCGGTTTCGCTGACATCCATATCCGTGGCCGAATCATCCAGACTGCGAGGCTGACGACCGAGTCTCTTTTGGGCAGCAAAGAATGACTTCTGGTAGCGCTCACACTTGGAGTTGATCAGATTGAGGGCATTGTTCTTCTCCGCGAGTTGCTCCTCCAGCAGGGCACATCTTTCCTGTGCCTTCTGTGCACGCTCCTTGTCCATTTTCAGCATATTCATATTGTATTCCTTTTCCTGCTCATCCATGGTCTGTGCCAACTCACGCGTCAGCTGCAGCAGCTTCTGATTCCTTTCCTGTAGTTGAACAATTGAATCAAAGGTCACTAGGTGTTCGGAAATGACGCCTTGCACGTTTTGGGGTTGGCTGCTGTCATCGCCCGACCTATTGTGGTGGGATACGTGGGGCACGCCTGCACGCAGGCAATTCAGTTCGTCCAGCAACGTGCACACCTGTCGGCCGAGATCCTTGGCTGAACGTTCCAGCAGATCGTTCTTCTTTGTCACCGATTTCACGTCAAAGTTAGCCCGCTCCAGCGATTCCTCCAGCCACTGTTTCTTCTCGAGCAGAGCATCACGCTCGGGGATGATCTGGTCGTAGGCTTCTTTTAGATTCTCGAAGTCCATGCGCTGCTGCTCAATCTCTGGTGCACGCTCTTCCACCTCCTTCAAAATGGATGCCACGTGCAGCTTCAGCTTGGAATTATCGAGATTCATCAGCTCCAAATCGTCGAGTGCCTTGACATACTTCGCGTACAGTTCGGTGATGGTAAAATTGGGATTGATCACGCGACTGGCAACCGCTGCACTTGGCGACATCTTGAAGATGGCCTCCTCCAGGCCCCGATCCCTTGTTTGGGTGAGCAATTTGTTTGCTTCGCTGATTTCCTTTCTCAACTCTTCGATCGTGGACGCGCGTTCTGCCAGCTCAGAGTCATGCTGCACCTTTGTGGCACTCAGTTCGGCCTGCAGCTTTTCGTTCTCTTCGTTTGATAATTTCAGCATTTCCCTTAGCTCACCGATGCCCCGCAGCAGCTCTTCCTGTCCCATCGCTTGCTGGGACTCTGTGCTCTTGAATATTTCATAGAGCTTGTTCTTGGCATCCAGCTCGTTCTTGAGCGCGGCAACGTACTGTTCCGTGGCCATGGACTGCTTGTAGGCATTGTTCGTCAGCTCCGCTATCTTGTCATTCAACTGGCCGATGGTTTCCACGGCCTGGGCGTGCTCGGCCTGAACTATTTGCAGCGCATCGCACTTCTCCCTCAGACTGTTCTCCAGCTGCATTGTGTTGATGGAGTTCTCTCGCCGAATGTTCTGCAGCTCGCTGTTGTTACGGTTCAGATCGCTGTTGAGCAGCTGAATCTCATTTTGCAGCATGAGACGCTCGCTCTCGATGCGCTGCTCCTTTGTCTGCAGGGCCACCTCCTTGCTTTGGATCTCGTCAACGCGCGCAATGGCTTCGCATTTGGCCGAGATGGCGTTCCTCAGCTGCTGACGGTAGGTGTGAAGATCCTCCTTCAGACGCTCCAGCTCCGCATTCTGGCGTTCCAACAACGTCAAGAGCGAGTCACGCTCCTCGATTATGCTGTTTTTCTCCTGCCTGAAGGACGTCGCGATATGCTCGTTGCTGCGTATAGTCTCCAGCAGATGATCACGCTCTGCGGACACTTGGTCCAGCTGAGTGCGCAGCTCATTGACATTTTGCTCGAAATTTGCCAACTTCACATTATGATCCTCGACAGCGCTCTGCAGCTCCTCCCGCTTTTGCTCAGATTCGGCTAAAGAGAAAACAATTTGATTGAAATTAAGTATCTGATTTTGTAGCCAAACAACTCACTGAGCCGATGGGCAGCAGCGCGTTCTTTGCAATATTCCCCAAAGAATTGATCGATATATGTCTGCAGCTTAATCTGCATGCCGGCTGGCATTTGCTCCAGCTCGTCTGGACCAAACACATTTCCTAATCCCTGTGGACCTCTGAGATCCATACTGTGGACAACGGCTAACACAAACTTTTGCAAAAAATTGGTTTTTCGAGCGCTAAATAAAAAATACAAATTTGGGGACGCGTCTGTATAAGTTCAGTGTTACCGCATTTCGCACAAGAAGCAGCTGAAAATACCAACAGTCGCAGCCATTGTGCAGCTATTTCGTGCAAAATGCGGAAAAAACGCTAAAAATTTGCAATAGAAATGCAATTCTATAAAATGCAACTAAATAGTAAAACAAAATATCATCCATAATCTGTATGACTGTGCAAAGGCACTTCCTTTAGCTAACTCTGAATTTGGATTTTTTCACCCATTTTTGATGAAACAGAAGCAGGCGTCTGGCTTGCAGCCGGCAAACCCCCTTCCCACCGTTGCAAACACAACATCATTGTAAATCAGCACTTAAACACACATGAGTGCATTCTAGTTTTTCCAAATGATGAACTTACCCAAACGATTAGCCGCCGCGCGGTTCTTGCAGTACTCATCTGCAAACTTTTCAATGTACCCCGACAATTTTTTTTGTACGTTCTCCGGAACGAGATTTAACTCGTCCGGCTCAAGTATGTTGTCCAACGATTGTGGACCGCACAGATCCATGTTGGCAGCGGATGTTTCTTTTATAAATGGGTTCAAACTTTACTTTTTTTTAAAACGAAACTCACAGCGAAAATAAATTCTATGGAGTTTGTGAACAGACGACAAGTAGTGTGACCGTGGACCTATCGAAAAAATATACCGCCTGATCCCCAGCAAATTACCGTAGTATATCAAAAAAGGTATTAAAATATACCGAATAGCATTTAGATTTGGTACTAAATTATACGTTTGTAGGTCCAGCAAAAAACAAAACTTGTTATGATGTCAGCGCCCTGTTCTTTTTATGCATAAATATATTTCTAAATTTCTTTGACGTTTAATATTAAGGTATAGAAATATGCTTTAGTTAATTTCAGCTTTTAGTTCTCGGGTTCCAGCAGCCTAATCGGTTGGATTTTGAATGACTATGAGGATGAAGTCCTTGTCAGGAGCCACCATAATTTCGTGTTTCTTCGAGCGCACCCGCAGGAATGTCATGTCGTTGGAAGGGTCTAGGTCCCTCACAACGCTCCGAGCCTTGTCAGCCAGCTGACTCATCAGACCAGCATATTGAACGGTCGTCGTATTGTCCAGAGTAGACTTCACCGGAATACCTAATTGGGATTGGATTGGTCATCAATCGTAAGCCGTGTCTATCTTGGCACAACAGTGCCCGCATACCCACCTTCATTGTTGACCACAATTGTGCCCACAACGCCTTTGTGACTCTGGATCCGTTTCAGTGTCTCCTCAACTTCTTGCGACTGAAAAATACAATTCTATAGCTTGTGTGTTATATTTATTACGGTTAACACTTGCCATTTTAATTAATTCGTTTCTCACAAAAAATGTAAACTTGTTTGCTCAATACAAGAGATCAGTGTGACCGCGGATTTGTTGATAAAATAGACCGTGAGAAATGTACCGAAAAATACCTGACAGTTCAATAGTATCATGAACCAACTGGTTCCCAGCACTTGTGCTTAACCGATAGGAACCAGTTCCATAAATTAAAAGTTTAAAATTATATTCATACTGTGACCGGACCAATCATTTTAAAAATGAATCCCTTGTACATATCCTTGATCCTGCCGAAAAGCAAATCAGGAATTGTGATATGAAAAAAAGATACTGCCCTAATGACCCACATAGCATCAGTTTCTAATGGAAACGCGCCATGGAAACCAATAATATCATTTGTTTGAAGGCCGAAAGACCAAAACTGGGTGAAAAAAACAGTTTAACGGGGAAAATCACTGTATCAAAATGTTACTAGAAACTCCAAAAAAAGTAAGACCATTCAAACTAATTGTTTTAATTAGTTTTTCATATATTTTTATCCTTTTTGAAGTCACCCCGATCTCTACGTTACGTGGATGAAGCATTCGATCAGATCAGCAGAAAAAATAACATTAGAGACATAGTAATTCTCAATAATCTAGGGCATCCTGTCAAGAGTACAATGGGGCAGGATGATTCCGTTCAGTTTGCTGGACTATTTCAAGCAATACGGTGCCGACTGGAGCGAGGTATGAAGAAAATTGATCCCACAGACGAACTTTTAATGCTAAGAGTGCGAACAAGGACCAACGAGGTGCTGCTAACCCCTGACTCCAAAATCACTGTCATTGTCGTACAAAACGCACAGGATCATTTTCAAACGTAATTGATTATCAAAAACAATTATTTATTTTTAATTATATAACAAACTATATAAAGTTCATACATCTATCAAAAGACTGTTATTACAGTGGTTCAAAAGCAATAGCTGGTGAACAAATTTAAACGGTGGTATTTTATTGATAATGACCCGCTAAACTATGACCATTTTAGTTTGAACCATGTTTTGTCAGCATTCCAACCAAAACGAGTCGTATAAACTAGCCAATCTTGTGAAAAAATGATTGATAAGTTGAAAAAAATAAAAGCTTTAGCTCTGAAAGTCTTAACTACCTGGTAATAATGAATAGAACATCAAAATCGAGGAAAATGATTTAAGATTTACGGTATATTTACAGTATATTTTTAAAAAGCAAGGGTACATTTCAGCATATTTCTGAGGGTCTGTCTGTATATTTTAACGATAATTCCGCGGTCACACTGGGTCACACTGCTTGTCGCTTTATTTTTATTCGTCCGCATTGCAAATAAATAAAATTAAACACACAATCTATCAAATTGCAATCGGAGCAACAAGAGAAAGAATACTACCAGTGCGTAACCGACGACCCGACTCCCAAACTCGTGCAGATTACGTCGCGGTTGGAGAATTTGTTGGTGACGTCGCCGTCTAGGGCGTTGAGCAAACAAACGAAACGTAAAAAAGCGAAACGTGTAAACGTCGTAGAAAACGATAAAGCAGACGAAAGAAAACGAATCAAATACGCAGCAGATACAATAGAGAGCGAACGAATCAGCGGGCAACAGCTAAAGAAGCAACAAGATTTGTTTAAATCTATTAATTTTTGAATCTTTTTCGCAACTTGTGTGCTTTATAGTGTTTGTGTCGTGCGTGTGTGTGTACTGTGGAGTGGGTTCCACATAGAGTTTTGTAGAGCGCAACCCCAGTTCGAAATTGTATCGGTAAATGCAGCGCCGCAAAAATGTGCAGCCTAACTTTGAACAACATTGTGAATGTGACGCAGCAGGATTTACACGACCTATTAGAGATTTTCGAAAAGAAATCATTCGAGGCGGCGGCCTTTGAGGAAGGCACAGCGGTAAGTGTATGCTAGTGTGCGTCTGTGTGACATACATTTGGTCGCACGTGCTTGTGCCGCAGAAGACATGCAAACCGTAAGGGAGCAGTGTGCGCTGCGCGGCTACCCTACCACAAGGACACGTCAGAGGGCCGTTACTCCCAGTGCCGCGCCCCAAAAAGTGCGGCTTAAATCAAAATGGCTGCCGTCAAGTCTCGTGTCTGACCTGAATCGCTCACAAATCGTATTCCTCAAGAAATCAATAAGAATCCTGTCCCTTATGAGACGCTCATTGGGTCTGTTCTTGCCAAGTGGTATGCACTCGGCCCGACACCCCGTCTGTCAAACTGTTGATGATGAACTGAATTCGTATCGAAATTCAATGGAAAAACCATGAATGATGCCTACAAATTCATGACCGGCACAACTTGTATTACAGCAACCACTTCTGGGCTTTCAATTGGTTTTCCACACTCCCACACCCGATTGTCACACATGCCCTTCGATGCTAATCACCGTACCCTGTCCCTGTTATCAGCTTACTTAGCCGGCAATGGCAACAACAATTTATTGTTCTGTTACTCTTTTTCTCCTGTCCTCTGGGTGCTGGGTGGAGGGTAAATAGCATCTACGGAAAACACTTGGCAACAGGGAAAGAAAATCTAAATAAAAACTTGGCACGTTTCATATCTAACGTTTCTATTGAGCTGCTTGTGTTTCTGGGTGTTGCTGTTGCTGCTTTTGTGTTTGTGCAGCTGCTGTTAAAATAATTAATATATTGCATAGCGAATGCCAATTGCATTGCCAATGTTTGAGTTGCAATTAAAATACTTTGTTGCGGGACAACACACTTGGAAAGTATTTGCTGACTGGCAGTATATCAAACAGTTGTTTTCCTTATCAGACACAAACCCCAATCGCAAAACAAGCGCCAGCCTTTCAACATGATTTTCCACCATATATACCACGTTTGGTCTGGCCCCTGTTATCAGTGGAGCTTGGGAGGTGATTTTAAAGCAACAAGTTGGAGTGAACGCCTTGGTTCGATGTATGTTCTTTGGAATACCCAGCACTTTAATTTATAATGAGAACATAGCTTTCAACGGGTTAATTACTAAAGAAGACAAATTACTATTAAAATATTGTAGAAATGAGTTTTATAGTTAATGGCTATAAAATCCATAGCCCAGCCACATTTAAAAAGTGAAAGACATTTCTTGCATACCTATGTATGGGTATACCCCGTTTTACATTTGTACAAATAAAGGGTATCAATACCTGCACCTTGATACACAAAGCCATGCATTTGATGGCGAGGGAGCAAAGGGTATATTTTGTTATTATTCTAATAAAAGATGTAGGTATGTGGCTCTATAAAGGGTTCAAGGTTAATTTCAGCTCGGAATGGCTTGATAAGATTAGCATTGCGTACTACATAAAACACTTTGAGTTGGAGGAATCGGGACAGAGCGGGAGAACAAGAATGCCTCAACTTATTGCATATTACACCTGAACAGAAATTACGGTACTTGCGACGTGGTGTTGGGAGTCGATCTAGAGCCGAACAGAGACGAAGGGTACATTCACAATATTATGACCGTTTGAATTGCAGCTTACAGCTAACTCAAGCACACTCCCATATGCGAGTGCATTCTGCGCGCTCTCTCTCTCTTTCTCTCACTCTACAGCCCAGACATAGTATATTAATACAAGGTGAGGTATTTAATCGGAATATGTGTCTTTGAGTGCACGAATGGAAGTAAACACACCTTGTGTGTTCGCTCTTTCTGTTATCGGGGCAGCAAACAAAAATGAAAATACCAAAATAGCTTTCGTTCGGCACGTGACCAAAACAATTTGCGTCTCAGATAACGGCTGCAGTCTGGACTTATCAGCTAGCAGTTTGTCAGCAACTGATGATGGAATCGCTTTCAGTTTTAATCGGATCAAAATGCCTGCAGAAAATACCTTAAAATGTACACCAAGATATTGAAACATTTATTATGCAGCACATCCAAAAAAAAACACCAAAAAAAACATTCATATTTATAGATTAGTTGCAGCAGCGTCACCGAATTTGTTGAAGCGCCTTTCCAGTCGTTTGGTTTAACCATCCTGGAATGCCCGCCTGATCTCCTCCTCGAAGTCAGGCGTCTCCAGATCCATTCGCCTATAGTCCGATATTCCCTCCATCTCTAGTCTGTCTTGGGCCCACAGGATCAGCTTGATGAGGAACATCATTTTCGGCTGGACTATTTCGCCACCCTCGTACTTGAGAATGGCCGTGTTCAGCTCCCCGGCCACCTGCTGCCTAAAGGCGGGCTTCATCAAGTCCCCGAAGGGACTCTCCTCGGGCTTATCGAAGGCCAGCAGGGCCAGGGCGCGTTGCATCTCTCGGATGTTTTCCGAGTTTACCTCGCTCAGTCCCGACTCCTTGCTCTGGGCAAAGTCGAGGGCCTGATCCACCTTCTGCTCCCGTATTAGCTCAATCAGCCGCAGCTGCTGCATGTGGAAGTACATGTAGTTGTCCGTCTCAAAGAGCTGCGGATACAGCCTGTTGGCCAGGTCCATGGCGTACTTCACTTGGCCACTTCGCACGGCATTGCGGATCCTGACGCGATCATCGACGCTGTCCTCCAGAGTGCTCGGCTCCAGCGCCGATTCGGCCTTGAAGCGCTGTGCCGCCTCCTGGTAGCCCTCTGTGGGGAGATGGATTAAGTTAATGTCTCTATAAAGGGGTTTCTGTGAGAATGCAAACCTGTGACTAAATAGTTCATCACCAGGCGATTAAGGTCCGCCTGCTTGATCTGAAAGCTCGACATTCGTTGTGCCCACAAAGTATTGGGGTTGGATCCAGCCATCTTCAATTGATCTAGTATACGTAATAGGTACTAAAAGAGATAAGAGACAGAGAGAGAGAGAGAGATCGTTGTGAGTAATAGAGATCAGGCTGGGCATCTTACCTCTGAAAAAAGATCTTCAATTAGAAATGGAAACATTTCGGTTAATAGCCGTATTGGTATCCAGGAATATAAACTATTTATTTGTTTATAATGTCGAAGAGAATGGCCCTGACTGGCAGTCAGGGTCCTATGATTATTATCATCAGCTCCATCATTATTTGTTTTGTTCTTTTTTGTTTTGTATTTTCTTTTTTGCACACTTGATGATTTATTTTTATCAAAAAACCTTGCCCAAAAAGACATTGAATGTTGTTGCAAAATGCAAAATATATGCATGTTGGCCTGTATGTGTGTGTGTGTGTGTGTGTGTGTACCTATATGTGTTTGTATGTTCCGTGTGTGTGCATGGCGTGTGGAGCGCCACCTCCGTGTGCGATTTTTGTGTGGGCGCCAAAATGTTCAGGTACAGCCAGCCGCACAAAATATGCTAAAAATAGCAATAATTTGGTAGACTTTTAAATAATTTTTCACTTTCTCCCTGAGGCATTTTCACTATCTCTTTCTTGCTCATAGAACTTATAGAATTTGTTTGCCATCCACAGAACCCACCTGTTGTTGTAGTTGTTGCTATAGTCGTTGTTTCTGTTTGCAGTTTTGCGGATTATGCTAATATTGAAAATTATGGAAAATTGTTAGTCGTAGAGAAAATGCAGCCGCAGCGAATTGGTCCCCAAGGTGATTGAGGAGCCACCCGGAGGCTGAGGAGGGACTGGTATTATAGACAGCTACGGCTGCAGGTAGGTCCAGGTCCAGGTCCAGGTTCAGGGCCCAAGTCCAGGTCCAACTGTTGGCCTGCGCTACGTTGAGCGTTTCCTCGAGCACTGGTCCCTGGATAGCTTGCACTTGGTCCTGTATTGGGGCTCGTGTCTCTGTTTTCTGTATCCCGCCTGTGCATTCCAGTCTGCAGCGAATGTCCTGCTTCCTGCGCCCACGCAGACTTCTGTTGCACTCATTTTGGGGGTTGCAACTAACGGAAAACTCTCCGCGCAGCTCTCCTACAGTGGTACCTCGGTCTGGGGATGACGCACTTACGATGCTGCTCCTTCGGCTGGCTACTGGGCAGCGCTCTCGGGTCTGCTGAACGCCTATGACAGTTGGCAGAGCTCTGTGCGGCTTCCCCTCCCTGCCACGCCCTGGCAGATGCAGCTGCAAGTCGTGCCGGAGTCATTGTGTGGGCGCTCCGAAATACGCGGCACAGGAGCGCATAAAACTGAGCCAGGGACTCGTCATCGGCCACACCTTCCGGCGCAGCTGCAGTTATGCGCACAGTGGGAAAAAAGGCGGATCTTGCTGTAAGAATATTAATTCGAGCTGCTATATTCCGTTTTGGTTCGTTCTGCACCATTACCACAGAAAATGATATTAACCTTTTTTAATGGAATTTTGGAAAGTTATTCAAGCCTGTAAAAAGCAATTATTCAAACTGGACTTTGCCCCACTGTGAGTTTGATGATAACGACAGCGACTCTGTTGTGACCTTTTATGATTTCCTGTTGCACATTGAACTTTACGCCCACGCCTGGGCACGTGCCCCCCACACCACCGTTATTGAACGTCTCCGCGTGTGCACTGGGGCAGCTGTTGCTGCAATGTGCGTGGCTCGCACCGCAGACACTTGTGACAGGTGCCCAGCAGCAGCAGCAGCGTCAGCAACAGGCACTGCTGTAAGAAGTGGGTGGCCAGGCGGGCGTAGTAATGTTTCAGTGGGGGGCAGCTGCAGCTGCTGGAAGTGCACGCGGGAGATGCAACATACAAAGCGGCGCATGTCCAAGAGCGAAAAGCGAGAGAGAGAGAGCAGGAGTTCGATTAAGGGTCTCAAAATGGGAGTTCCAATGTTTTCCGTTTTCCAGAGATGCTGCACCCTAGACTCAACCCCAATGCTATGCCACCCCTTCCACCGGTCACTATGAAGCATTTATGATAGCAGTAAATTTTGTGAAGTTCCTTTGTTGGTCGGGTTAACTGCGTCGCAACAGAAGGTACCACGCATCCATGATTAGGAGAAGGGCGTCGCTGTCGTCGCGAGAAGAAGCTGTGTCCTGTCCCCCCAGCCGCATGTTGCATGTTCGTTCTTCTGGATGGGCCACCGCGCTGGCGCTTGTTGCTGCTGTTTTCTGTACGCCTGCTAGCTGGCAGATAAAATCGATAGTATCTGAAATGGCAATGCCGTCTTTTCTGGGAATGGATTGGCAGTGGCAAATGCTGCTGCTGTGTGCAGAAAATGACAATTGTTGTTGCACCCCCAACCCATGTAATCCCGCTGAGCGGGAGAGCTGTGTGGATGCAAACAGTGGGAAGTGGGTGCATGAGGAGCGAGTATTATTCCAATTCCAATACTTAGAAACTAAATCAAATAATAAATAACGCTCCAGGAAATCTCTTTCTATTATCTTTGTGATTTTTTTGTGTGGGTGAGGGAAAATCTCTTCCTGATTTCTGTCACTCAAGCGGGTATATTTAATACATATTTACATACATATAGACACATTATGATGAATAAATGTCTGCATTCCTCCAACAGCTCCTCCACTCATTGCCTGTAACGCCCACTTGGCTTTTATGTCATTTATTGTGCTCAATTATAAAGCGATGTGCCAAGCCAAGCCAACCAGATGTTGGCATTGGGGTGCGCTGAACAAAACCCAGAGTTTGACTCTTCCATGTGGCCCACAACAAAGCTTCCGGCTCAAACGTGTTTTCGCTTGCTCGCCCTCTACCTCCCCCCTCAAAAACAAGGTGGTTTCAAAGTCGGTTTGAAAGTTGTTGGAAAGATATGTTGTATGTATGCAGCACGGATCTGTTTTCTGCCACATGCAGCACTCCACATTGCATATTAAAAGCTCACTAATCAGAGATCCACCCATGTGTATAATGGCATAAATTAGCAGAAGAGCAGGTGGTATAAGAAAGAGAAGATATCGACGATAAGCGAGGCGCCAATGATGGCAATTTCTAGTCAATGGATAGTGCAATCACTGTACTAAACATATTTTACGACCTTCTCTGTCGGCCCATGCCAAGTATTAACCTCCCCCCGGCATGAAATGTTGACACCCAAATCGAATCACAAGTTGATTTCTGGTTTTAGGTGTCTTTGAACGACTGACTATACAAATAAAATACTGAAAACAAGGCATTGCACATTTGAAAGCTTGAGCATGAATCGTGTAAACAACGAGAACAAGGAGAACCGAAACACGGAAGCGCCCCATGAGTTGTGCATGGGGTGTGGTCAGTGGCCCCCACTTGAAGTTCGACCTGTTTTGAGCGCTGAATAATTCATTCAAGAAAAACCATTTTCCCTGTCGCCGGCCCAGATTGATGAATATGCAAGAAGCGCGGGAATCGCAGTCCCAGTATCGTGCCGTGTACTGTCAGTCCGTCCTGTGTCCCGTCCCAGGCTCGGTGGCCTCTGGCGATAAGCCATGCCAACTTTATGCTGCAAAATGCAAGCAGAGCGCGAAAGAAACCGTTGTACCATCGCTCTCTCTTTCTCTGGCTGCTGCTCGCCTGGCTCCGGACCGGCATGGGCTCGGTTCGGTTGCGCTGCTTGCTGGTTTCTTGATTTGTGGGATTTCTTTTTGCTGTTGGTGGTTTTTGCTTCTTTTTCTTTTCTTTTCTGTTTTTTTTTCGGTGGAGCCGCTGAAAACTGAGAAGAAAAGTATGCCGCTCCACGCAGCGTTGATTTCTGTTAGCCCAGCATCGGCAAAGTCTTTGAAATCCGGGTTTGTAAGAAAACTGCATTGCAGCTCCCGAAGCAGTGTTGAGTCTGGGGCTTGAAAATCTTATTTGGGTCAACGATAATGATTGTGTTGATGATGGTGGTTGCTGTGGATGATCATCATCCCACAAACTATTTCTCTGGCGCTGTAAAAAACTATTTCGCGCGTTTGTTTGTTGTTTTTAAGTTTTTACAGCGCCTTATTAACAGGCGCACAGCGAAAAGAGAACGCCAACTGGCGGACAGTTACAGTTGCATGCAGTTGCTGCTCTTTCTTACAAAAGAAAAGACAACAACAATGGCAACAACAGCGGCGAGCAAGCAGTTCAATGCATACAACAGTAACAGCTTCTCTCTGTGTGTGCGTGTGCATGAAATGGCAGCCAGCGTCTACAACTTGGAAGAGTACTCTCTCTCGCTCTCTCACACTCACTACCATCGATAAGACTGTGGTTTAATACCCTTGTAAATGGAGAGTTTCAGGCTAGAGATTTTCTTCTTGTCAATAAAAATCAACAAAGCACACGAAGCAGACTGTCTGTTGGTACGATCAGTCACAAAAGATATTTCAACCTAAAATGTTTCCTGATAGCTCCTTTTTAAGAATGATCGATCTGGAAGAGTATCCGAAGCTGCGGCTCCGCAGACGGCTTTTCAATTTTTGTGGCATCCATCCCCTTCCCACACACACAATACGCAGAGTTCCGTCTCTCCCGAACATTTGTGTAAACTGAGAGAGAGAGCAAAATAATATCCAGCGATTTGCAGTTGTCGGTCGAATCCAAAACATTGCAACGCATTTAATACTGTAAAAAAATTGTACAAAAAATTAATTAATATTCGATTAATTTAATTATAGCTACACCCTGCCTGCCCTCTGCGAATCGCCTAACCTTTTTCCATTGAGAGTTTCCTTCTCCGCAAAGCAAAGCAAAAGTAATTGCGTTTTAGTTGTTTTGCTCGTTTGCTTCGCTCTCCATAGTTTTGGCACAAACACACACACACCCACACACTCACTATCTTACTCACACACATGAAGGTCTTTGTTTTCACCACGTTTGTTGTGTTCTGTAATTCGCTTCTGTTGCCTTTGTCTCTCTTTTTTTTGCACATTTATCTTTGCTTCTGCCCGTGTGCTTGTGTGCTAAAAACCTGTTTCGTCCAAGGTGTTTGTGTGAGAGAGTAGTGCCGCTTTTATCTAGTTGTTTTTTGTTGTCTGGGACAGCTGGCGG